CTTTGTGATGGTAGGGAAGCTAGAGGGAAGGAGAGGCAGGAGGAGACTGAGAGAACAGATGCTGGAGTTGGACATCACAGCATGGAAGATTATCTGTGTCGGAGTTGATTGAAGGAACACGAGACAGAAGGTTGTGGATGACATGACTACAAAAGCCACACAGCATGGACTTGAAGAAGAAGAACAGCCCTGTATGGCAGGGCTGTTTAACTAAGTTTACTCAGGGGCTGAAATTTTGAAAAGGGGACTATCACGAATGAAAGGCCTAAGTCCTAGTGTAGAAATACAATTGGCAATGTTCAGCGGGCCACTTACTAGGCCTCACTGGGCCACTTACTAGGCCTCAGTGGGTCACTTCCTAGGCCTCAGTGGGTCACTTCCTAAGCCTCAGCGGGTCACTTCCTAGGCCTCAGTGGGTCACTTCCTAGACCTCAGCGGGTCACTTCCTAGACCTCAGCGGGTCACTTCTAAGCCTCAGCGCGTCACTTCCTAGACCTCAGCGGGTCACTTCTAAGCCTCAGCGGGTCACTTCCTAGACCTCAGCGGGTCACTTCTAAGCCTCAGTGGGTCACTTCCTAGGCCTCAGTGGGTCACTTCCTAGACCTCAGCTGGTCACTTCCTAGGCCTCAGCGGGTCAGATCTGTCCTGTGGGCCACCAGTTGAATACCCCGGCAGTACACTTTTAAAACCAAGTTACATATTTTCAATTCTAATGTTATTTCAATTTGAGCATAAGCCAGTGAAAATCAAAGGACTACAACAGACACAGAACCAAAGTTAAATGCCTATAAAAACAAATGCCTCGGGGAATGTCTGGGTAATCACTAGTTAACAACAGTTATAGGATAAAGAAGATGGCACCATACTGACAATCATCAAACATGGGGGCCGCGTTAGCTCAGTCGATAAGAGACTGGGTTTCAAATCCAGCTGCGACTCGCTGCAGCCCACGGTCGGTGTTTGAAACCGGGCAGCTCCCGGGGTTCACCCAGCCTCTAGAAAATGGGTACCAGAGTTGACACTCTGGGGTGAATGGAGGAACGTCGCTGTAGCTACAGAGTTACGTGCGAACGGCGACACAGGTGGACAATTCTTATCAGCTGTCCGTACTGGTGGCAGAGCACTTATGGTTTATAACCGTGTGCAATGACGCTAGTTCACATCTACCGACTTTACCCTTAATCATCAAACAGAATGTGAAAAAAGTTACCCTAAAATAAATGTCAACAAGACAGGCCAAAGGGGTTGCACAGGACAGAATGGAATGATGGAACAGACTGTGAGAGGTAATGGCACAACTGGACAATGATGATGATGTACGAAGAAGAACAATCATGTACTCCAACATGGTTTTACTTCTCTGTAACTAAGTAGCTGAAATTTATATAAGTGTATACAGAACATATAAAACAAATGTACAGGTAAAAGCTTGCACAAGGGACATGAATGGTCGTAGACCACAGGGCAGACCCAGAAGATGATGGAGACATAATGTCCAGACAGACCTGCAAACACTTGGTGTCACCAACTGGAAAAAGAAGGCCAACCAGAGAGATGAATGGAGGCGGGTGATATCAGCAGCAATGAACCTCAAGGGCTCAAATTGCCGAAGACGAAGAAGAAGAACAGGTAACAGCTTGCTTCACTGCAATGAGCCAGTTGATGGACCAGAGCAAAATCCTTATTTAATGATTGGTAACACCTGGTGTATATACCATTTTAAACAATTACTGACTTGACAATTACTGCTTCGAGCAGAGTGGCAAGCTTCACTTGCAAGGTCATGGGTAGCTTTGGATCTTTTCTCTCAGGCCATGCTGGCGTGGTGGGGAATTAACAGGCAGACAGACTGGCTAGATCTGCAACGCAGGGTGGTGAACTGATACATGACAAGGCAGATGTGGTCAGAGCCCTTTGGGAACAAGTAACAAAGTCAGAAGAGAAATTAGATTATTATGGGCTGGAGAGAATGATGCACCCGGGTGTGACCAGAGGGTTCAGCCGGCACACTACGCTCAGAGGAAAGTCCAGACAGACATACAACCAGACTACGACTGGCACCATTAGTATTGGAACTCTGCGCTAGCTGCTGAGGATGGAAACGGAGCGTGCATGGGAATGCCCCGAGTGCTGTGATGTCAATTCTTGACTCAACTTAACTGAGTCGAAGAAGCCATGTAGATAATTAAAACATTCACATCAAATTGTTTGCACACTGATTCCAGCTAAAAACTGACAACACAGCACTCAGGGCAGTCACATAGGTGCTCCATCTACATCTTTGGTAGCTAGCACAAAGCTCCAACTCTAACAGTTCTAGATGTAGTGTGATGATGTGTGTGTCTTGCCTTTGCTCTCCGCATTGAGTCTTTAGCCAGGTTAGCAAAAGCACAAACAAGACCAGAAGCAGACTGCAATGGGGATCATGTTCCAGTTAGAAATGGCTGTGGCTCACAGGGCAGTGAACGGATTTCACAACTTCATGAATCCCAACGTGCTAGCGTTCGTTCTCCAGTTTAATTTTTAGGAAAAACGGACAGCTTCTATGGCTTTTCGACAGTGATACTGGAGTCATGCTGTGGATGAGACGGGTAATATTTCCAAAGATGGCAGTAGATACACTACAGTCAACTTTTACTGGAGGGTCGGTATACACTTTTCTTCTTCCTTAACCCTTTCGACCGAAGAACTATTAGAGAAAAAAATGATGACCCCAATTAGGATTCCTGAAATAAATCAGTAAAAAAAGAACAATTTTCTCACAGGTCACTAATAAATTTGTCTAAAATTTATTTATCAACATTATAAAATTATTGTCAAAACATATAAAGATATATGCAAGGAGTTATTAATAAACATAAACAGGGTGAAGCAGTAAACTGAATACATCCCCAGGGGCCTAAAAAACACACGAAGCGGGCAACTCATACCGTGACCCCGTGACCTTTACCAGTGACACTTTCGAAAAAATCTGACATCATTGTGGCATTAAAATAACCCTTTAGCACAAACAAAAACCCCTCTTAATGCTATTTTTAGTAAATTTATTCACAACCTGACCTCCTTAACATTTCAGCAGGCGCAAACTCAACCAACTGCATTAACTGCATATCTCATAAACAGGTCATGATCAATCAAGTTGAAAAAGTGACATTTACCAGGAACTGGACCTAACGGGGAAGTGTATGTTTTTTGGCTTCTTTGGGAGAAAGAGTTGAGTTCAAAGAAAATTGACATTGAAAGAATATAGAAGACTCCACAGAGAACACACACTGGAGACAGCCTTTTGTCAGGGCAGGGAAAGATCTCAGAATGTTAGGTGCTTTATTAATATCCTATCCCAAACAGGGAAAATCCACAGGTCAGAGACAGTCTAATATTGAAAGGGGTGGCAGATAGGCTGCATGCAGTTGTAGGACCCAGGCTGCATGCAGTCGTGGGACCTAGGCTGCACTCTCTTGTGGGACATAGGTGGGCTGGGGTTAGGGCCAGTTCTTGATGTTTTGGAGTCGTTAAAACCATCAGAAAGCCAGGAAACCGTCTTACCACCCTCTAAAATGTTGGACTGTCCTGCGACATCAACTTGGATAGGATATTAATAAAGCACCGAATGTTAACTGATAAAACACTGTTGGACAACAAAAGCTTGAAATGTAAGCATACACAAGCCTGCTGGCAGGCCACTAGGTCATGGCTATTCAAGTGACAGCCTGTGGGTCGAATCCAGCCCTAATAGGCCTAGCAAGTAGCCCAACTGTACCGTATAAATGAGCTTTCAATGCTCATCATCAAATGCTTATCACGCGGGTCCCTGGTCCGTGAGGATCCACGTTTTCAACACAGTGGCCCCTGAGTAAACTTAGTCGATCGAATAGCTGGGTGTTAGACAATAATACTCAAGAAACAGGACTAGATCTAGTCATTTACAGTACTGTATACACTGTGTTAATAAAAGTATAATGCCCGTGACTTTTTTATTGTGTTTATTATGTCCCTTTGATGCAAACCCTTCCGAGAAAGACAGCAGAGTGCTCACTTTGCATGTAACATTCTTTGTGAAACACCCTGCAGAATGCAAACATTTTTGTCTGAAACACCATGAAGAATGAAACAATCACAGAGATACAGTTACAACTACGCAATTTGTGCACACAATTTACAAAATGCAGTTAATTGTTCTCGTGTATACAGAATGTAGTTAACTATTCCTTTGTTAAATGTACAGAATACAATTAACTATTCTTCTGCAGGTAGTCAAATCAGCACAGTAGCTTGATGCCCGTCTACCAGCCAGGAGGTCTTTGGTATCCATCCATATGGAGTCAGATTTTTTTTTAGGGGGGTCCAAATCTGACGTGGGTTTCCAGGCTGATCTAGTCTAAAATGGGTACCAGGTAATATCCACGGAAATAAAGGTGGCCAGAGCGATGCTGAACACATTACTAACTGAGTGCCAGTTGGTCTTTTAAAAAATGTGAGTTCAGCCTCACATGTTCAATAAGCCACTGGCATAAAAAGGGTGCTTTAGCCCCATTCCCCCAATTTGTTTGTACAATATACATAATACAAATACCTATTCTTTTGTGAATGGAATATAGTAAACTGTTCTTTACCACAACATACAGAATATCATTAACTATTATTTTGTATAATATACAGAGCATAGTTAACTATTCTTTTGTACAATACGCAGAACACTGTTAAATATTCCTTCGCTGGGTGAGGGAGACCACACTCTGTCATTCTCAGAACTGGACATACTGACTGGACTTGTAGGCGGTCATCGGTCATCACAGATTGGGAATGGTCATCTTCAGGTACTTTAATGGTCACTCAGTCCACCTGCAGCCATGTCCACTAGGCTATCTTCAGGTGAGAAATCACAGTTATCAAATTTGCTCTATCAAACAGCAACAGGTAGAAATGAAGCCGAATGGCCTCATTGTTCACATAGTTGAATGGGATACATTCCGCTGATAGCTGGAGAGACTGACCACTGATCAGGAGGCTGTGGATGATTCACGCGACATCGAGGGCCAGTATAAAGTCACTGAAGCTATATGCTGGTTCTGCAACACCTGAAAATGAACATATAAAAAAGTTACCTTATCTATAAATAACACAAGCCTTCAAACATTGTTTTCTTTTTCCTCTTTTTCTTCAGCATTCCGAGCCCTTGAGGTTCATTGCTGCAGATATCACCCGCCTCCATTCATCTCTCTGGTTGGCCTTCTCTTTCCAGTTGGTGACACCAAGTGTTTGCAGGTCTGTCTGGATATTACCTCTCCATATTCTTCTTGGTCTGCCTCTTGGTCTATGACTATTAATTTCTCTTGCCTACACATATTTTGGTTCCTCAAATTGTATAGCTTCTCTGTGGCAACTTTGTGTTGCTGATCCTACAAATGTCGTCATAATTTTTCTATCACCTCTAGTTTTTGAGACAACTCAGAATAACCTTCTCCAAGGGGCCACTGATAATCTACAAGCCTAGAGTCAGTGGCAACTGATAATCTACAAGCCTAGAGTCAGTGGCAACTGATAATCTACAAGCCTAGAGTCAGTGGCAACTGATAATCTACAAGCCTAGAGTCAGTGGCAACTGATAATCTACAAGCCTAGAGTCAGTGGCAACTGATAATCTACAAGCCTAGAGTCAGTGGCAACTGATAATCTACAAGCCTAGAGTCAGTGGCAACTGATAATCTACAAGCCTAGAGTCAGTGGCAACTGATAATCTACAAGCCTAGAGTCAGGGGCTACTGATAATCTACAAGCCTAGAGTCAGTGGCTACTGATAATCTACAAGCCTAGAGTCAGTGGCAACTGATAATCTACAAGCCTAGAGTCAGTGGCAACTGATAATCTACAAGCCTAGAGTCAGTGGCTACTGATAATCTACAAGCCTAGAGTCAGGGGCTACTGATAATCTACAAGCCTAGAGTCAGTGGCTACTGATAATCTACAAGCCTAGAGTCAGTGGCTACTGATAATCTACAAGCCTAGAGTCAGGGGCTACTGATAATCTACAAGCCTAGAGTCAGTGGCTACTGATAATCTACAAGCCTAGAGTCAGGGGCTACTGATAATCTACAAGCCTAGAGTCAGTGGCAACTGATAATCTACAAGCCTAGAGTCAGTGGCTACTGATAATCTACAAGCCTAGAGTCAGTTGCTACTGATAATCTACAAGCCTAGAGTCAGGGGCTACTGATAATCTACAAGCCTAGAGTCAGTGGCTACTGATAACCTACAAGCCTAGAGTCAGTGGCTACTGATAATCTACAAGCCTAGAGTCAGTGGCTACTGATAATCTACAAGCCTAGAGTCAGTGGCTACTGATAATCTACAAGCCTAGAGTCAGTGGCTACTGATAATCTACAAGCCTAGAGTCAGTGGCAACTGATAATCTACAAGCCTAGAGTCAGTGGCTACTGATAATCTACAAGCCTGGAGTCAGTGGCTACTGATAATCTACAAGCCTAGAGTCAGTGGCTACTGATAATCTACAAGCCTAGAGTCAGTGGCTACTGATAATCTACAAGCCTAGAGTCAGTGGCTACTGATAATCTACAAGCCTAGAGTCAGTGGCAACTGATAATCTACAAGCCTAGAGTCAGTGGCTACTGATAATCTACAAGCCTGGAGTCAGTGGCTACTGATAATCTACAAGCCTAGAGTCAGTGGCTACTGATAATCTACAAGCCTAGAGTCAGTGGCTACTGATAATCTACAAGCCTGGAGTCAGTGGCTACTGATAATCTACAAGCCTAGAGTCAGTGGCTACTGATAATCTACAAGCCTAGAGTCAGTGGCTACTGATAATCTACAAGCCTAGAGTCAGTGGCTACTGATAATCTACAAGCCTAGAGTCAGTGGCAACTGATAATCTACAAGCCTAGAGTCAGTGGCTACCGATCGCATTCTGATTTTAATCTACACCCATATTATATGTAATTACTAAGCATTTATTACCTTATAAAAAAAAAAAAAAAAAGACTAAAAGTCTATTAAAACACTAACATTCCTTATCAATGGTCAAAACACAAAAAAACTTTTTTTTGCAGACTTCCTGGATAGTGATATGACCGGACAGTCACGCTTTAGGACAGTAATCTGCCATCATGTGGGCATTCCAAAGTCTCAAACTGTAGTTCTTCCAGTAACTTATACACAAATATACTGTCACCATAATAATTACATTCTAAAATGCTGTAACTCAAACACCAGAGATGCTACACACAACAAATGTGATATCTGGATTTAGCAGGTCTCATTAATTCAAAGTCAAATGTAAGATGTGTTGGCAAACATTTATCATAAAACGTACAGCTCTGTAAGGTACTGATCCGCTGGCTGATAAATGCATGCCCTCCACCCCCCCCCCCCCCCACACACACATACACGTGCCCCCCACACACACATATGTACGTGTGCACAGACACACACATGTGTGTGCTGTAATATTTACATCTTTCAACCAAACACACACAATTTCAACAAAACCTTAATTAGTAGTTTTTTACAAGAGAAGCAGCAGCAGGTCTAAATATGGAGAGGAAATTGGGTGAGCTTCATGCAATAGCAAAGGAAGGGGGGGGGGGAGAGAGAGAGAGAGAGAGAGAGAGAGAGAGAGAGAGAGAGAGAGAGAGAGAGTGAGAGAGAGAGACAGAGAGAGACAGAGAGACAGAGTGAGAGAGACAGAGAGAGACAAACATGCACGCACGCACACACAGAGAGGTGCCAGAGTCTGTATACGTGTGCCCTATCAAGGCATATGCTGCTGGACTCATATTTTTATGGAGCAATCTCAGCAATTGGCTGCTGACCTGGTCAACATTCCACCGGTCATGTTTACTTCCCAGGACATTATATCTGGTATCCATATTATATCTGGTATCCAAATTAGGATGGTATCCATATCAGGATGGTATCCATATTAGGATGGTATCAATATTAGGATGGTATCCATATCAGGATGGTATTCATATCAGGATGATTTCCATATCAGGATGGTATCCATATTAGGATGGTATCCATATCAGGATGGTCTCCATATTAGGATGGTATCCATATTAGGATGGTATCCATATTAGGATGGTATCCATATTAGGATGGTATCCATATTAGGATGGTATCAATATTAGGATGGTATCCATATCAGGATGGTATCCATATTAGGATGCCAGCCAAGATTATTTGCAAAAAAAAACTGAACATTTAAAAAATACTTTTTTCCCCTTTCAAAACTGCTACTACTGCCTGTGTTCATCACTCTGCATTGTAGTGCTGGAATGGGGAAAGGGGTGCAGGGGGAAGGAGCCCCTAACCTTATCAAAGATTTGAACCTGGGCTTCTCCTATGACAGCCAAGCACTCTAACCATTTAGCCAGCTACTCCTCTTTGAGGAGCACACAAACAAAGAAAGAACAAAAAGAGCCCAAATAAAGGTACCTCAAATATCAAGTCTTGGACTCCGTAACAGAAGGTGGAGCCGAATGGGTTGCTGGTATTAGTTGATGCTGATCGGTTCAGAATGACTGGCCTCTGCTTGGGGGTCATGAGGAACTTCTGAACTTCATCCCACTATATGATTGGAGAAAATAAACATTCAAACAGATGAGGAGAATTCATGGTAAACATTCAAACAGATGAGGAGGATTCATGGTAAACATTCGAACAGATGAGGAGGATTTATGGTAAACATTCAAACAGATGAGGAGGATTAAAGGTAAACATTCATGCAAATGAGAAGGATTCATGGTAAACATTCAAACAGATGAGGAGGATTTATGGTAAATATTCAAAAAGACGAGAAGGATTCATGGTAAACATTCAAACAGGTGAGGAGGATTCATGGTAAACATTAAAACACATGAGGAGGATTAATGGCAAAACATTCAAACAGATAAGGAGGATTCATGGTACACATTCATACAGAGAAAAGGATTCATGGTAAACATTCATGCAGATGAGCAGGATTCATGGCAAACATTCATATAGGTGAGGAAAATTCATAGTAAATAGCAACATAGATGAGGAGGATTCATGGCGAACATTCACACAGGTGAGATTTATGGCAACCATTCATACAGGTAAGGAGGATTTGTGGTAAAAATTCATACAGGGGGATTCATGGTAAACATTTATACAGGAAGGAGGATTTATGGTAAACATTCATATAGGCAAGGAGGTCTCATTGTAAACATTTAAAAAGATAATTGAGATTTATGGTAAACATTCATACAGATTTGATTTGATTTGATTTGATTCAAGAACCGACATCACAGCACTCAGGGCATTCCCATAAGCGCTCCGTCCCCATCTTCAGCAGCCAGCAAAGAGTTCCGATACTAATGGTGTCAGTAGCTTTCTGATTAAAAGTCCGTCTTGCCTTTCCTCTGAGCCTTGAGCTTCTGCCAGAACCTCTCGTCACCCCCAACTGCATCAATCTCACCAGACTGTGGTGATCCATCTGCTCCTCCGCATTGTACACGCTCTCCCACAAGGCACTAACCACGTCTTCCCTATCATGTAGCAGTATTCCACCAAGTTGTGCAGAGCCGGCCAGTCTGTCCGCATGTTCATTTCCCAACACACCGGCGTAACCCGGTGAAAAAATCCAGACAATACTCCTCACTCGTGTCCTCCGCAGCGAAGCATGCCATTCTGCACGAAGCATACCTGTTCTGATCTTCCTCAGCATGCTTTCTGAATCAGTTACAATTACAATGTGTGTGTGTGTCGTGTTCTCTAGCCAGCGGAAAGCTGCAGTGACCGCCTCCACCTCCATTCTTAAGCTGGATGTTGTGGTATCATATGCTAGGCTCTCCTGCACCAAACGTCGACCATTAACTTTTGCTAAAAAGCCCCAAGCACTTCTTTTGCCTCTTGATACTGAACTGTCTGTGTAAATTATCAAATCCTCTGAGCGAGCATTATCTTGAATTAATTGCTGAATTTCTACCTCTGTGGCACCTGCTGGCCAGTCTCTGCATTCCCGGCTCAGCGTGATTATGACTCTACACAAGTCAGACTGCTCAGGTGGTACTTTGACCCACTCCTCTCCTCGCCTAATGTTCTCAAGGATGCAAACCTGTCTAATTGTGTCTTCTTCCTGAGCCATCCATGACCTCCCTCTTATCAGCCGCTGACCCTTAACTGCACCCAGAGCTTCATGCAGAGGGTGGTCTGTGTCTGCAGCTACCCTGAGATATGACTTCGCCTGCATCACCTTGTGCCTACCTGCAACCGTCGGCAAACCACTGGGGTATCTCTGGTGCAACCCAGAATGACCCGCATAGCCGCGTTCTGTATGCGCTCTAGTTTGTCCATCTGACTCTTTGAGACGGTAAGCAGTCCCAGGCCATAATCCACCACTGACAGGATCAGGTGCTGATATAGTTTGAAAAGCATTCTCTGCTCTATGTCAATTGCAGCCATAGTCTTAAGTGCACCAAGTCCTTTTTGGCATCTCGTCACAACACTCTCCACATGGTCCTTAAATGACAGGCTCCTGTCAAATGTAATTCCCAGATACTTCAGTTTGCTCTCTCTGTTGACGTCTCTACCATCTATCGTGAGACTTTGGACATTAGTTTTAACGATTCTGTTGTCCATAGAACACCACAAAACAGACGCCTTTTCTGGGTGGACGACAGCCTTCATTGCTGTACACCACTCAGTCACTTTGTCTACTGTCGATTGTAGCTCCCGAGCTGTTTGTTCCCTCTCTTCCCCCTGCCTGTATGCAAGTATATCATCTGCAAAAGTCAGTATCCTTCCAACTCCTAGTGCTTCTAGGTTTGCAATCTTGCTCGTATACACGTTGAAGAGCACAGGCGAGATGGCGGATCCCTGTGGCAGTCCTGGGGCCAAAGTGCATGATTCAGAGGTCCATGAGCCCAGTTCATACAGATGCGGACTTATGGTGAACATTAATAGAGATAAAGAGGACTCATGGTAAACATTCATTCAGCTGAAGGATACTCATGGCAAACGTTCATATAAGTGAGGAGGATTCATAGTAAACATTCAAACAGATGAAGAGGATTCATGGTAAGCTTTCAAACAAATAAGGATTTGTGGCAAATATTCAAATAGATGAGAATTCACCATATACATTCAAACAGATGAAGATTCATGGTAAACAGTTCTACATTCTGTTTTTACTGCATTCTAATATTACAGCTTTTCTGCAGTTCAACCCATTTAATTTCCCTCATTCTTCTTCTTCTGTTTTCATCCTGAACCCTTTTACAGTACTGGTGTTTTGGAAAGGTGGTTATTTTAATGAGAACCAGGTGATTGTCACTTCTGATGGATTAATTGTTGCCCCTGAAGCGTTGCACCAGGATGATATACGATCTAATTCCCGTTGTAGATCCAAACAGTGTCATCTCTGTTCCTGCCCTGTTGATGCACGAGGATGTCATCTGCATATGATAAGAGTTCTTCCTCTGCCACTCAGTTGTTCTCCTCTGATCTTGACTGTGTAGATGTTGAAGAGGATAAGAGATAATGGAGAACCCTGTGGTAAACCAGGGTGTATCGTTATCGCCTCAGAAGACATCGAAGCACCACCTTCCTCTGGAAAAGTGTGGCAGATTTCCATTGAAGGAGATCTGGGGGGCATGATGAGTTTCATTTACTGACACATTAGTTGGTGGAAGGCAACTTTGTTGTATGCATCCACCAGATCTATGGCGACTGCACATGTTTAAAAACCAACTTGAAAACCTTCATATGCGTCAAAGACGGCAGCATTATGCCATGTCTCCGTATTTTGTCTGTATCCTCCAAGTTGGGGGGGGGGGGGGGGGGGGGGGGGGGGGGGGGGGGGGGGGGGGGAGGGGGGGGGGGGGGGGGGGGTGGGGGGGGGGGTGGGGGTGGGGGGGGGGGGGGGGGGGGGGGGAGGGGGGGGGTGTTTGGGGTGGGTGGGGGGGGGGGGGGGGGGGGGGGGGGGGGGGGCGGGGGGGGGGGGGGATAAACAACTGATGTATTTCAAGATGGCTTGCCATTCTTCTCGCTATTATCTTTTCCACTGTTTTGCCTAGTGTGTTCTGCCTCTTTGCCACGTTTCTCTAGCAGAATCAAATAGCTATGCAGCCAGCTTTCTGGGATGGTGCCATTACAGACACTATCATTGTAGGCTTTACATAGGTCCTCCATGGATGCTGGGGGCAGCTTGGCAATGTCTTCACAGTGAATGCCATCAGGGCCAGGAGCAGAGTTCTTTGATGTTTTGATGAAGTTCTTAATTTCAGCGAACGTAATAAGCTGATCATCTTAAATGAATGTACCAGCACATGTTGTAGCGACCATATCCATGGTAGTCTCAGTGTCTTGCGTGCAGATTTGCTTGAGGTATCTGTCAAGGAGTGCTCTTCCTTCGTCTTCATCAGACCTGTTCCATGTTTGATCTTCATTACAGAAGTCTCTGATGCCTCGGCGTCTGGGAGCACCTGTCATTGCCTTGTGTATGGACAAGTATTTTGCTAGAGATTTTTCCTTGCACACTTTATGGCAAAAGATTTCCCAGTTTGTGGGCTTGGCTTTTTTTGGGCAACTGCTCCGACAGCTGTTGTCGAGGTCTGCATGGTGTGTTAGGATTCCCACAGTAGGTCTAGAGTACAGTCAGTGGATTTCATTGCTGTCTTGCCAGATCTTTACAGCATGTCTTTTAAGTACCCACGCTGATTCCACGTCATTATTCCACCAAATTGGTTGTTGCAGCTGTTTTCTTTAGCCTAAACGGCGTCGACTTTTGATTTTCCTAAGCTTGCTTATGACATCATAATTTTCCAGTGTGTATTAAAGAGGGTTTAAATTTATTCTACGATATGTGCTGACACCCTTTTTTAATAGGATAACACAGGGACAATGATCGCTCCCATGATTACTGAGTACATACCAACCTCTACAGTGTCGACTGAGTGCAGGTGAAACCAAAGCCAAGTCAAGCACGCTGTCTTCTTCTTCTGACTGTTGGGTCATCCTGGTGATTCTTCCATCATTCAGACAGACTAGGTCCATTTCCACCATGGCATCCTCCAAATCCTCCTCTTGCTTGTTTGTCAAAATATAACGTTCCCTACGTTCCCTTCTGTTTGCATTATTTCTTGAAGGCACATCCACTTTTCTCTGCTTACTTTACCGTTACATGTGTAGACAATAACAAGCAAGAAAGACTGCGTCGCACGTATCACAACAGCTTGTAACTGGGTGCTGACATCTTGCCATCGGGACATGTCAACTTCATGAGCTTCGATTTCATCCCTAATGAGAATAGCCTGTCCCCGGTGTAGCTTGTTCTGAAAACTGGGAAAATTTGTGAGTTTCAGTGTATTGTCACCTAGGAGTGTTTCTTGCAGAGTAACCACGTCAGCACTATATACTCAATTTATCCACGACAGGTCGTCTTTGTTTGACAGTGGCACATTTCCAGTAGAGAATTAGAACAAGCTTTCGAACCATCCTTTCCAATTTCAATAGTGATTTTCTGGGTTCAGCACATTTCACTTTTTTATTTTTGCAGTGCGATCGGCATTTTCTGTGCTTTTTCATTTTATTGTGAACATCATTATTACATATCCTTTTTATTTTACTGTGAACATCATTATTACATATCCTTTTCATTTTAACATAAACATCATTATTACATATCCTTTTCATTTTAACATGAACATCATTATTACATATCCTTTTCATTTTAACGTGAACATCATTATTACATATCAGTGGAGGAGGTGAAGACGATCTCAGCACAAACGCACCTTCTCCGCCATGCAAACGAAAATCCTGGACTGACATTTTCACATAGGACTGGCTGCAGAGGTCAATGTTGTCACTAAGGCTGCCATGATGTCAATCGGCGGCACACACTTCGAACTCACATTAAAAGCGCAGCGCATAATCACTTCGCTGGCCTTAAACAAATATCTTGCAGTGTAACACATTTCTGCGCTGCTTTTGAGTCGATATTTTAATATGGTCCAAGTGAAATGTAAAAAAAAAAAAAATGTAAAGGACCCTTTTCCACGCCTTTAGGCGTATAGGGCATATAAGGCTAGACCGATATTTTTTATAGACCAATCAGCACAAGATGGGTGATGTGGCCAGCATCACGCCAGCCGCCTTTACTTCCCGGGACTGCACCCGGTACTCACTCAAGCCTGGGTCAACCTGGGAGGCAAGGTCATTTTTTTTTCTTCAAGTCCGGCTCCGCCAGGGAGCGAACCCACAACCTTCTGATCCGCGCCGAGCATCTAGCTGCTGGGCCATGGCGACTCTCCAAGCGAAATATGCTCGATAAAAAGCAAAGTCATGGCTCCTGAATGAAAACACAACAACAGGCCACCATATTAGAAAAACAGAAGTCACTTTTGTGGTATCTTTGCTTTTCTTGGTATCTTTACTTTTTCTAGTATCTTTACTTCTATCTTTACCCTTTTCTAAGTATCTTTACTTCTATCTTTACCCTTTTCTGGTATCTTGACTTCTATCTTCACCCTTTTCTGGTATCTTTACTTTTATTCTTTCTAGTAAAGATAATAAATGATAGTCATGATGGAGATATATAATATGCAATGATTTCTTGACAAAATAGCAGGTGGAATACCTTAGAATATGCTGTAATGACAAATATATCATCCTCCACGATTATTGTTTGAGCGTGGCTCGCCTTGGACGCTTCAACGCTGATAGGGAGCTTGAACTCACAGCGACAGTAACTGGAAAATAGATCAGAAGCTTGAAATCGGTGAAATAACTGGAAAATAGATAGGAAGTTTGAAACTGTTCACAATAAACTGAAAATAAATAGGAGGTTTGAATTTAGTTATAAAAACTGGAAAAGAGAAAGAATTTCTTAAATCTCAGTGACAACAGATATAACATAAATGAGAAGTTTGAGACTGGTGACAATTTTGTGGAAATTGATGGGAAGTTTGTAATTAGAAACAATAACTGACAATAAGTGGAAATTAGAAAATTAGAAATCACCGTGACAATAACTGAAACATAAATGTGGATTAAGGCCTCACTATAACAATGGCTGGAAAATAGACAGAACATTTTAATTCACCATTAGCAATAACCGGAAAATAGATAGGAAGTTTGAAATCATTGAGGCAATGACTGGAACATAAACAAGAAGTTTCAACTCACCATAACAGTGACTGGAAAATACAGCAAACAGTTACAATTCATTAGAGGAGAAAGTGGGTGGGTGAAAACTATTTTTAAATGTTTCATGACATGAACAAAATGTTTGTAAAAGTCCTCTTCTGGCAGAGAACGGTGCTATGGAGTTCGTGCACTGCGCTGAGATTCTTCGGACTCAGGCTTGAGTTAGAAGTAGAACGGAGCACTCACGTGCCACGATGTTGATCCTTTGTATAAACTAAACCATAAACCAGTACTGGCATAGAAGTATGTATATCCTCTAAGCTAACTATGTCATGCATATGGCATATTTTGGAAGATATCTAGGATATATACACTGTGAACGAGTAATTAGGTATAAATATGAGGGTTTCAAATGAAGGCCTTAAAAGTGTGATAAAAGATTCAAAACTGCTGTAATCGACTTCATGGTCACAACTTGGTGTTCTTGACCTGGATGATACAGTGTGTAACACAGAAACCACTTTCTCTTTTTCTTCAGCCTTCTGAGGCCTTAAGGTTCTTTGATGCAGATTTCAGATGCCTCAATTCATCTCTTGTTGGTCTTCTCTTTCTAGTTGGTGACACCAAGTGTTTGCTGGTTTGTCTGGACATTATCTCTCCATCGTCTTCTTGGTCTGCCTCATGGTCTACGACCATTCATCTCCCTTGTGTGTCACAGAAGTCACACGATTTTGAAATTTCCGACTCCACTCAGACACTTGCTGGGCTGACAGACATGCACCACCATATGGGACCTTCATTCGCTGATGAATTTCATAGGTTTTACCACTTCACTGATTTAAAAAAAAAAAAATGGATAACAGAATGCTGCTCCTCTTTGGTGCATGTCAAAAGTGGGGTGGCCATCTTTAAACTGTCATTATGATGTCACTGTATTTGTTGATACTGTGATGTCACATGCTTAACACTCCTGACATCCTTAACAAAAACACTGACACAGCGGCATGGTTACTGTAAATTCTATCACACATTTCAGGTTTTCATTTGAAGCCCCATTTGTGCTGATGAATCTAGGATGATTTATATATGTTGTAGAAGACTAACACCAGTGGCTGATCTAGACGGAGAAATTGTTCTGTGGCCCATCAGACAGCCAACAAAGCAGAGAAACAAAAACAGAAGATAGAAGTTTATTTGTTGACGCCACAATATTACAAATTTTAAGCTTTTGCGACATCATCTGCTGCTCAGACGCTAGAAAATCTTTCATGTGGCTGATAGTTAATTCTGACAGATGAAGCACTGCAATAACATTCATCTGATTTCCATTATTTGCTTTTTATTAATGGTCTGATTGAGAAAGTATTTTCAAAAAACAAGAAGTTAAAAAAAACAGAAACCACCAACAATCTGACAGCTCTACAGACCAACAATCTGACAGCTCTATAGACCAACAATCTGACAGCTCTATAGACCAACAATCTGACAGCTCTATAGACCAACAATCTGACAGGTCTATAGACCAACAATATGACAGCTCTACAGACCAACAATCTGACAGCTCTATAGACCAACAATCTGACAGCTCTACAGACCAACAATCTGACAGCTCTATAGACCAACAATCTGACAGCTCTATAGACCAACAATCTGACAGCTCTATAGACCAACAATCTGACAGCTCTATAGACCAACAATCTGACAGCTCTATAAACTCAGACATGGATATTCTTTTACAGATGATATCCAAAATTTTATATCTTCCAAAACAACGGATTATTAATCAAAAGATTGCCTTTACAAAGATCTTCATTTTCAGGAAAATAATTATCAAAGTTTTTAGATAATGTCTTCAAATGCTGACTGGTTATGTTGAATACCACCTCTTTGATTCCTATCCCTAAAGTTCCTCGTGTGGGTTCCGGGGCCCTACTATAGGTAAAACAAGAACAGACCCCTT